AATACACCTGCAAATAACAACAACAACGATCCCAACGAGACTCAGTCTACGAGCTTTAATACATATTTCATTCAACACATGTGAAGTTCGACGCCAGAACTAGCAAAAATAAGAAAGCATAAAGAAAAAAGTCGTAAAAAGGAATAGTTTAGTGACTTCCAGGTTCTTACCAGAGCAGTTTGTTTTACCATCACCCTCGTATCCATCTTTACATGAACAAATAAACGATCCTTGTGTATTACTGCATATTGCATTGCCGTGGCAAACTGGTGACGTCATGTTGCACTCATTGATATCTAAAAAGACAGCCGATTGCAAATAAACTTAAAATCTTCACTGATGAAGATCGAAGTATCGACCTAAAGGTCTGTCATGTATACATCAATAAAAACAACATTTTTTTAAGTACGAATGGGATTATATGAACGTTAGTTTTTTTTATCTAACTTAATCGATACTAACTACAGTTTCCTCTCACCTTCTTGGCAACGGTTGCCTTGGTAACCTGGCGTACAAATACATCGATAATCTTTCTTGGCATGGAATTTGCATGAGCCTCCTTTGGCGCATGGACTGGACTTGCAAGGATTCTAAGTTTGGAAAAAAAACTGTTATATACTTTATCGTAAAAGCGTTTTTTTCATAGAGATATACATTATTTGTACTTGAGTAGAAAGACAAAATAAAGTGAGTGATCTTCTTAAATTCTATACTAAACTGCAAAGCCTGAATATTATAAAAATGTAAATTTATCTAATAGTTATTGAGATTTACGGAAATCTTATTTAGTAAATTCTCGTAACCTAGTAGAGTYGTCACACTTGTACCGTGAATTATGAATAATAATAAACAGTAAATATTAGTGTCTATTTATTGAATTATAGTAGATATTACTGAACCAGAACACAGTTCATGAAAACTAAGACAAATCTAAAGCTAAAATAACCACACAAGACGCAACGAAACGCGTTTGGAGTCTTGATTCTCTGCGCCGCAGCAAAACTATGACAGAAGACATTGTAAGGCTAAATTGGAAATACTGTAACAATAGCACACCCAGTACGCAAATGAACGTGTTTTCTAACGAGTATATTATATTATAAGAGCCTAAACTAAACATCAAAATAAGACGCACTGAAATGACCCGCAAAAATCTATAAACAACGTGGTTTCGAACGAATTCCATCGCTCAAAACTGAGTTATTTGACTAGTCAATATAAAAAAGCGACTTGGCAAAAACCAGCGGCGACGTTTTAAGTAATGGTCCGAGTAAGAAGCAGGCAAGCAAACGGCAATGGAATGCATGAAGGTGCTAATTTTGTATTGTATAATCCATCCATCTCATTGCTGAAATGACCCCACGGATGGCCGACAGGTATTTCCAAAAACTTTTTCGGTCCTAGGCAGTGAAAAATGGCGTGCAATTGGACTTGGACTAAGTTCTACGCCGAAAAAAACCCCGCGAGAATGAATTGCGACGAAACAACGTTTTACCTGGCTGTAAACAACGTAACTAATAGATATTTTACTGATAAACCGTGGTTCAAAAAGTCTCCAATACGTAATAACTATTACATAAGTTTATTTCTATTGGTGTAAGATTTTCGATAAATTTTCTATATTTAGCTTAATTTAAGTTGGCTTAAGTTTTAACTTAAAAGTTATTTGTGAATGAAGAAACCGTTTTCGGTAGACTTTTTAAATACATAATAAATGTTACCATTTCTGTCAATATGTTTGTCCTCTTTAGTTTCTAAATCTCAGTATGTATATGATAAACAAATTACTTCATGSTTAGTTCGCTTGTACAATTCGTACGCGCTCACCAACCATGAAGAAATCTATATAAATAGAGAGAGAAATGCACCRCGTATGATGATAAATCAGCCACATATAATGTATTTTCCAACGCGTAGATGGTGTCTMCCCAAAATATCGAACGAATTTGAGCATAAAAGACAGTGATGGCGTGCCATACAATTTCGTATGAGTGGGAAACGTACGGTACGGTTACCGAACAGTTACCATACCTGGCCTGCACAATTGTGAAGCAATGAGACACTAGAATTTGGTTACAGTACGATTACGGTTACAGTACAGTATCGTCCGTTTCCCACTCATACGAAATTGACTCTAGTCAATAAGCTTATCACTCGATACTGATTTTCGCCCGGCCTGTAAACAACAATTATATTAGAAGCTTTATTTCATTTTTTTTTAATTGCTTTCTGAAATTCCAGTAACTATGAGATAAATAAATTTCAGAATGAAAAATGCTTGTACGTTTTTTGTGCACTCGCTAATGCGTATCAGAAAACTCACTCGCTCGTACCTCGCTCGTTCGTTTTCTGACATTTCTCAACACGTGCATAAAAACCGAACGCGCGCATTTTCCATTAAGTAATCTCTATATATCAAATTAATCCTACTTTTTTAGAGTGGCGATTCGCTTAAAAGTAACAGATACCCAATCGTACGTTTATTTTTTTTTGTACAGCTGTGCGACGGACAAAAACAAGCCGATAAAACACCCCTTGCAGAGTAGCCACTGATAAATTGTTTTTAGAAAAATAGTTAATAATTTTAGAAAATGTTATTATCAAAGCTGCAAGGTTCCAGGTTTTGAACTATATGCGGTTTTTTTTCAAAGCGCCAACTCCCTGGAGCTAAACCAATATACTTGCAATTCTAACCAAATTTATCTTAATCAGTTTTTTTTTATTAATTCGCTAAAAGAATTGTTATTGAAAATACTAGTAGGTCAAATTGCTTTAGTCACCTTCTTTTCTTGAAAAAATAGCCGTAAAAATGCGATAACATCTGTAACGAAGTTAGTTTTATAATACTGAGAATTTMAAAAAACTATTCAGGTACATGGATGCAACTTTATAAATTGATTTTGATGAGTTGAAAAAACTGAAATTTAAAAATACCTTAGTTAAGCGAGAAATTTTTTAAATAGATTTTTTAAAATGAGGTATTTGCTAAAATAAACTTTTAAGTAAACGCTTCAGGATTATAATTTTATGTGAACAAAATTCATTACAATTGTGATATCGATTCAAAATCTCATACCTTCAAACTGTAATGTACATATCTTTCATTCTTCACCAAATATTGCTCGCTGTTGAACACATCAGATGAGAGAAATTCACAAAAATGGAGACCGTTTTCTTGAGCCGATTTTTTAAAGTTTATCGAGAGACACCAGGGAGTTTCAACGCAGTCTTCAATGCAGTTCAATTTGCTGGTGACTTCTTTCGTTGTTTGCGTCACATTTGTAGAATTGGGGAATTTGAGGAGAAAATCCTGAACTATGTCAAATGAAAGTTGGGAAAAGATTTCCAATGCACACAACTTGTGAACTGACAAGAAGCAAACGATCAGAAAGGTAGGCAGAAGAGTCATGTTGAACTAAAACCGATTTGCATGGGGTGGRCA